CCCGAGTGGCTGGCGGGGAGGGGAGTGTGTGACGGGAGCATGGAGCTGGTGAGTCCAGGGCGGTGACAGGAGCCCTCACAGTCCATATCATCCGTCACCCAAACCAGGAGAGCTTAGAGCAGCGGTTCTCAACCTGTGGGTCACGACCCCTTTGGGGGTCGAACGACCCTTTCACGGGGGGCACCCAATTCATAACAGTAGCAAAATTACAGTTAGGAAGTAGCAACCAAAATAATGTTACGGCTTGGGGTCACCACAACATGAGGAACTGTCTGAAAGGGTCGCGGCTTAAAGAGTAGAAAGAGAAAGAGGATTCAAACCACAATTAAGGGGTGTCAAGCGGCCCACAGTAACCAGAAAATGGGACACTGGGCCTCGCAGGCACGGTGGGGTCAACCCTGTTTTTCTCATCCCACATGGCTGGGGAATCGGCCGTTCTGAGCTGTTTGGGGTTTTTTGGTGTGTGTTTGGGGTTTGTTTTTTCACGTCCTCTGTACTTTTCTCTGAATGAAATGAGAGGGGAACAAACTATAACGCAGAAGGCACTTAAGGATTTTGCTGGGACTCAGTCATTAATTTGCTTGATGAGTATTTATCGAGCGCTTACTAAGTGCCAGCCACCACACTAGGCTCCGACAGCGCCCGGAGGAATCAGTGTCTTCCCGCACCCTCAAGATCCTCCTGGCCAACCGCCGGAAGCATGAGCTACTGCACAAGCACCAAAAGGGGGCGACGCAGGGCAGGGATTTGGTGGTGAGCCAGGATAAAGGGTCTAGCTGTGCCATGGGTGGTCCAGGCAACCCACTGTGCGTGGGCTTGTGGAAACCCAGAGAGATAAGATGGGAGGGTGTGAGTCCCAAAGGGCTCTGCATGGACCTTGGATGATTCCCTCTGCCTTTCCATGCCCAGGGAAACAGCCTGATTATTTGCACTTGGGGATGAAGCAGTCCCCCCAGAGGGACCTCCTGTGTATTTCTCATTCAGCCAGCGTTTAGGGAGCACCCACTGTGTGCCAGGCGCATAACCACAATGCCATGCTAACCCACAGGTTGGCAAATCAGCCGTGGAGGAAAGGCCTGGCTTTCATGCAGATGGCAGCCCAAAACACCCTGCTGTGTAGCACGCAGGGTCACCAGGAGTCAGACCCACTTCCAGGGTGACAGATTTTATTTGGGGGGGTTCGTGGGGAAAGAGTGCCTCGGGCTGGGAACACCTTGGAGCCTCTAGAAGAAAGATGAGGTGCTCTCTCGGGAGCCCTGGTAGTGTAGTGGTTAGGTGTTGGGCTGCAATCATCATGGTCAGCAGTTTGAAACCACCAGCAGTTCCAAGGGAGAAAAACTGGGCTTTCTACTCCAGTAAACAAACCCACAGGGGTCACTGTGAGTCAGCATTGACTCAGTGGCAGTGAGTTTGTGTTGCTTGGGAGATTTGTTTCCAGCAATGGCAACATGTGATTTCCTCCCCAGACCCAGGCGCACGGGTACCCTGCCCTGATTGAACTTCAGGGAGATCCACTCCTGTTTGGCTCTCCAGCACACCCCACTATCCAGGGAGAACCCATCTCCTCTTCCAAACCTGCATCCCACCCTCCCCCAGCTTCTCCGTGTCACAGGAGCTAGAGCAGGAAGAGAAGCTGTGCCCCTAACCAGGCCCCAAGGAGGCAGGAGCAGGGAGGGTGCGGGGTGCAGGTAGCTTGGACCTGCCTCTTGTTCAGCCATCCCGTGACCACTGGGTGAGGCTGGCCCACTCACCTGGCACCGTGCCAGGAAACAGAGCAGCAGCAGGAGCCAGCCCCTGCCTCTTGCGGGCGACCATTCAGAAATGAGCGAGTTTAAGTGCGTGCATACAGGAGGTGAGATGGTGGCGAACAACGGCGGAGAGGGAGGATCAGGAATGAGGGGGTGCAGCTGTCAAGGGCCATCAGAGAGGCTTTCCTGAAAGGTGAGGGAGCACCTGGCAGGGTTGTGGGGAATGATCATTCCAGAAGGGGCCGCCGTGCAAAGGCCCTGGGGCAGGACAGGGCATGCACAGCCGAGGGCCAGGAAGGAGCCTGGTGTGGCTGGAGCAGTGTGAGTGGGAGGGGACCAGGGCAGGGGGTGTCAGAGTTTGGGATCGTCTCTGCTATTGGGGACACATTGACGCAGTGTGCCTCCGTTTCCACACCTGGAATGATGGGCGTGATTATCCACCTAGTTGGGGATTGGAGGGGGTTGGGAGAGGAGTAGATGTAATAAGGTTGGTCAAGTTTTGACATTGCGCGTGCGTGTGTGTGTGTGTGTGTGTGTGTCTGTGTGTGTCTGTGTGTGTAAGAGAGAGGGAGAGAGATTCTCATTTGGCTACATGTCATGTGTTCAGAGACCCCAAAGCCTGTCATGGGCCAGTGGGTGAATGCATGCTTTATTTGCAGTCTCTGAGAGGAAGAGGCCCCCCGAGGCCCCAGCTGCACCTCCCCATTCAGTCCACCCAACTTCTACTCAGTACATCCCATCCGGAGCCTGCTTCCTGAGGCAGCCAGCGATTTCCTGTCTGCCTGTGCAGGCTATATTTAGCCTTGAGAAATGGGAGCAAAAAGCCCACAGCTGCCGCAGCATTGGAAGAGAAAGGCACAAAGCCAGTCCTGCCTCCTGTCCAGCCCTAGTCTGCTGACTCCATTCCCACCCCATTCTTCCAGAACCTTCTGGAAACACCGCACTGGAACTTTGGGGCTTGTTAGAACAACAGCCTCACTGTTCCCAGACCCAGTAGCTTCCATGATTAAGGCTGATTTTAGGGAAGGAAAGAATATATCGTTTTCTTAATAGAAGTAAAGTAAGCATCCAGAAAGCTTCGTCACGCATGAATAAACAGCACAATGAATTTCAACTTCCGGATCACGCTGTGTTGTCAACACCTAGGTCAGGAAATAGTCTTCTCAGACCCAGAAGCTCCCCACCCCTGGTGCCTGTCCTGTCACTACCCCCAGAGGGTGGCCAGCCTAGGTCTCCCAACATCGCTCACTAGTTGCCTGGTTTGGTATTTCACTCGGGTAGAATCTATCTGGCTTCTTTGAGCAACATTAGCTTTGTCCACCATCCTGGGGGGCCTCGTAGCAGTTGCTTATTGCACATCATGCCATGATTTTATATTCTCGTCGGTGGACTCACACTGGGGCCCTTTCCAGTTTGGGGCTATTGTGAATAGCACTGTTGTGAACATTCTTACTTGTACTTTGGCAACAGGTTGATTTTGCTGTTGAATAGCTTTAGCGGAAACTCCCAACCCATTTTTCAAATGGGAGGATTCGAGCCTCCTCCCACAGTAGGCTCTCGGAGTTCCAGTTGCTACCCAGCCTCACCAACACCTGCTAGTGTCAGTCCTTTTCAGTTTAGCTTTTCTGCTGAATGGCAGTGGCATGGTACATGGTTTTATGTTGTATTCGGTGTGGAGGGGTGTCCTTTTATTTTCCAGACAGGCAGAATTATTAAATCAATAAGCAAAACATGTGGACAAAAGCTAGAGCTACAGGTCCGTTAACAGAACTTGACTGAAATGTAGCTCAAAGTGGTTTAAAAATGATGATGATGGTGAAAGGGATCTCCTTTCACTGAAAGTCCTGAAGTAATGGGCTCAAGCCAAGCTTCATCCACAGCTCCCTGCTGTCACTGAGCACCCAGTTTCCTTTCTGTTATTCATTCTGCCTCCCATGACAGGAAATTCATTCCAACACACACACACACACACACACACACACACACACACGCGAGCTTTCCTCGTGGACACAAGATGGTTGCCAGAAGCAAACGGGGATATTTGCTTCAGTATCCATGGTCAAAACATGGTCTCTTCCCCCAGCCACTAAGCAAAAATCCTGGGCTTCACTCAGATCGGACTAACCAGTCACAAATGCTTGTGTTTTAAAGATGAGCTTTTAAAGCCACTTGGGATGCCCTTTCCATAGGTGCTACAGGCTTGAAGAACCATTGGAAGATTTCCTTTCTCCTAACTCCTGATGCTATGGTTTTTCCAAGCTTAGAGTCCTATATTCCAAGGACTCTGGAATATAGTTTCCTAGTTCAAACTCCACACCTACCCCTGACGAGCTCTGTGACTTGGGGTGCTGATGGTTTTGTCTTTCTGTACCTGTTTCATCAGTTGTAAAACAGGCACTGTGGTAGCCTTTCCAAAAACCAAATCACCACCATCAAGCAAATGCCATCTCAGCGACCAAATAAGACAAGGTAGAATGCCCCTATGGACTTCCAAAACTCTAACTCTTTAAAGGGGTTAAAAAGTTCTGCCACTTTCATACAGAGTGGCAGGTGGCTTTGAACTGCTGACCTTGCAGTGAGCAGTGCAGTGCTTCACCACTGTGCCACCAGAACCCGTTGATGGTACTCAACGGGTTACATGAGTAAAAGGTCGTACATGAGTGTAGCTCCGTGCCTGGGACTCTGTCAGAGCTCATTTCTTAGCACCTCGTAAGTCTCTCCCTCTTCTCTGATTTTCATATTCTGTCTTTTCTTTTTATTCTTTTCTTACTGCAGTGTTATTTTGGAAAATGAGCATGGGATTTCTGGAAATTTTTTGCAGGGAATAGAGGAGAGAAACCCTTGAAGGGGGGAAAAAGGCTCACAGCCCTGCCAACTGGCTTGGTGATTAACCAGACCTTCAGGCCTTGCTGGCATGTGCTTCCTCCAGGGGAAGCCTGTGACTGGGGGTAAGAGAGTGAACAGAGGCTGATGTCTTCACTTAGGTGGACTTTGTGTGGTGCTTCTCCTGGGCTCTGGTTTGGAAGTTCCCCTCTGGTTCTTGCTGCTCCCCAGGCCGTGTGGGGATGACACAACTGGGCTGTAAAGCTCCTGCTTGGTTAGACGCGGGTGCTTCCTTTCCCACTCTGGGCTGCCAGAGCTCCAGGACTCCACAGGCTGAGGGCATTTGTGTACAGCGTGCCTCGAAGAGCTTGTGAGGTCACACCTGAGCCCCACTCATGCCTCACCTGCGCTCCTCCCTTGTCCCCACAGAGCAACGATGCCTCAGGGAACACTTGGAACTGGCTGTACTTCATCCCCCTCATCATCATCGGCTCCTTTTTTATGCTGAACCTTGTGCTGGGTGTGCTGTCAGGGTAAGTCTCTGTGACACCCCACCTCTCTCTTTGCCAAGGAAAAGACCGCCAGAGCTTTTTGTTCAGCTCCCCAGCCAAACAACGGACTCGTCTCTAGCCTTGAGTAGACCAGACAGCAAGCCATATGCAGGGGCATAGGTTGTGCACTGCATTGGGGCGCTCCGAGAGAGGACAGACACATGGGGCCTGAAATCAAGCCCATCCTCAACTCGCCCACCTCTACCCCTGGTTCTAAGCTACCTCCCTCCAGAGAAAGGGGGATTTCTTTCTATGTAAGCCTCTCCTTTGAAAGGTCTTCTCAAATTTTTCAGACCAGCCACCATGCAAGAAATTCATAAAACTTAACCTTCTGTAATTTGCCTTGTCATAGAATAGGTTGATTTTCCTCCCTATTCCAAATGCAAAATCATGGCATAGACCTTACCATGCCTTTTCATGACATACATATTGTCTTGTTCTTGCCTGTCACTCAAAAAAATTATTTTTTCACTTGATCTTAAATGGATTTTGTTTTTCTTCTAAGAAGTGTGAGGATTGATACAGTGATTCTTTGGTATCATCAGGGATGCCGGATCCTTCTAGCAGCCCCCTCTGACATCCTTTCCAAAGTCTTCTAATCTCATGAATGCCTCCTCGTCTGAAGATGGTTGTCCCATCTTCCAAAGAGGAAGAGGAAGAAGGGAAACAGGAAGGGGTGGGGCTATGTCAGGGAACCAGAAGTTTGGCGGCAATCATCCATTTATGTTTCATTGATCTCACCTAAAGGAAGACAGGAAGTATGTTTTAACCGGCCACATGGTCACCTCAGATAAAACTGAGGTTCTCGTAATCAGCATCATGGTGAGAATGAGAATGAGAGAGGTCGCCAGCAGTGGTGGCATGGCACGACTTCATGCCTCGTGTGCTTTGGCTTTTGACTCCAGCTGATGCAGTTGGTGGGGACCGTGGGAAGCTGGCAAAGAGACTTCCCCTGAACACATACCGATATTTTCCCAGAAAATCTGACTTCTTTTGTAAACCGCTTCCTGCCAGTGGATTCTGAACCCCTGACTACAGACACACACACACACACACACACACACAGGCGCTCGCTAGCATTTCCAGGGAAGCAGGAAACCTCCAGGTCCTGAACTTGTTTGTGCTTCTGCAGGGAGTTTGCCAAAGAAAGGGAGCGGGTGGAGAACCGACGTGCTTTCCTGAAGCTGAGACGGCAACAGCAGATTGAGCGAGAGCTCAATGGGTACATGGAGTGGATCTCAAAAGCAGGTGAGGAGGCCCTTCCGTCCAGGGCCCACAGCGTCACGCTTGAAGTGTGGGGTGGGCTGAGGGAAGGCCAAGATGGGAGAAGAGAGAGGATCTGAATCAGTAGTCTCAACATTCGGCAACAAGGATCCAGAATACGGTATTAAAACTTCTGGGATGGAGACAGACCATGACTTCACATGACAGCTTCAAAGTCAGCCTTGGGTTGATATCCCACTTCTGGCACCACCCAGCAACATGCTTCCACCTCCCTGTGCCTCCTTTTTCTTACACATTAAATAGCACCTACCTCCGGATGATAGTGATGGTACCTACCACATAGGGCCATCAGGCCACTGTGAAGATTCGATAAAACAATCCCAGCAAATTTGCTTAGGAAGAACAGGGCTTGCCACACCAGAGGCGTCTGTGAACCTGTTCAGCCACTCAAAATATAGATATGCAGCACCTGCTGTGCACCAGGCACTGCACTAGGCACTGAGGATATGGAAGCGGAGGAGAAAGGGGGAACAGACACAGTTCCTGCCCTCAGAGACCCACAGTCTAGTGAGGGACACGGAAAAGAAGCAAGTGCCTAGGATGTTGAGTGCTGCCAGCTGCCCGGAAGAAAACCGAAGCAGGCAAGCAGCAGAGACAGTTGGAGGGGGCGGTCAGGACAGGCCCTCTCGGAGATGGTGACATGTGAGCAGGGACCTGAAGGAAGAAATGAGGTCAACTGTGTGAGTGTCTAGAGGAGGGGACGTCCAGGCAGAGGGAAGGACAGCTGTGAAAGCCCTGAAGTGGGGATGACAGCGAGGAGGTCCACAGGGGTGAAGCCGAGTGGCGAGGGGAAGTGGGCGGTGGTGAGGGCGATGGGCGATGGGGCTGGGCCATGCAGGGCCTTAAGCTGTGGCAAAGGTATGCTGGCCTTTCGGGTGCGTGAACTACAAAAGATGTCGGCTGTCATTACTGTGGTTGAGTTGGGACGAGGCATCTGAAAGCGCTGAGCAGCCGGGCGGGGGGCGAGGGGGAGCTGGGGTGGCAACTCTCGTCCCCATCGCAGATAGCCCATCCCCAGGAGGGTCCTTCACATTCTGGAGTTAACTCTGTGCTTTCTTCTCAGAAGAAGTGATCCTCGCGGAGGATGAAACCGATGGAGAGCAGAGGCATCCCTTTGATGGTAACTGCTCTGAGCCCGACGAGGCCGTGGGTCACAGGGTGGATGGGTATTGTGGGGCCAAGGGGAAAGGCTCCGTTGTTCTAGGTCACCTCCACGGGGCACTCAAGGGTCAAGCCACGCCAGGGACACACAAGAGACCACGTCAGGCTCAAGACGTTCGGGGAAATGGCAAGAATCTACTTCCTTGAGAAAGAGCAGCACCCCAGTGGAGAGTGTGCACGTTCTGGTCCCCACTCTCTGCTTTAATGATGTGCCTGGATTTCTTTGGCTTTGGGCCTCGGTTCTGCTCATCTGTAAAAATGGGCGTTATAATAATAATGCCTACCTTACTATTTGCGATGGTTGAGTTAATTGTTGAAAACAGAATCTTGAGGAGCGTGCGCATGGTCAGCACCATCTGTATTTGCCAAAGAAATCATCATCGTACTTCCACCTAGACTCCAGCTCACCGTTCAGGACTGTTGTCTTTCACGTTGGATGGTTGGCTGGACAGAGTAATGACTTCTGATGAAAAATACCAGCAGCGAGAAGGAATTGAAGAAACTGAGTCTTTGTCCCCAATGGTTATGAAATGGGTTTTAGAAAGCACCTTAATGGAGAGTGTAAAGGACTTCCTCAGGGGCATACGCTTTAAGCTATTGCTTCTAGACACGCCTTACACAGAGCGGCGCTTGAATATGGATGAGAGAGAGTTTAAAGTAGGTTCATAAGCCCAGCCTACCAGGTTCTACAGCAAGAATAAAGGGGCATACTGTAAAAGTCTCTATGTACCCAGTCCCAGTCTCTCAGAAGGTGAGTCTCTAAGTATCTTAGAATTCAGAGATAAGCCACAGAGAAATGTTGGCTAAATAATAGTAATAATTCCTTCCCCAAAAACACAGCTTATTGCTTTAGATGATCTAATCACACATCAGAAAGCTATTTAGACAGAATGATGACTTTTGATTGAAAACCCAGGGTATTAGAAGGAACTAAATGAACTGGGCCCCTGTTGTAGTCGGTTAAAAGATGGAGTTTACTATTTATGGAAGAAGATAGCCCCCTTGGGGATATAGTAGTGACTGTATTGAAGGAGATGCCTGCAGTCACTGTCCCCTATAGAGCCTTTGGGGAAGCAGAGATGAATACTATGGAAAGGAGAGTGTCCACTATCCCCGTCTGCCCAGCATGTATGCTAGTAAAATCAAAGGGTAAACGGTTTGCCTAAGAGTTCCAGGGCTGCTAGGAAGTAGAGTTTCCAGAGATTAAAACAAACAAAAACAAGGACTAGAGGGGAAATGGTCGCAGAGAGCCCCAACTGGAGGTAGACTGGGCAAGACATGACTCTCACCTGCCTCCAACCCCCCTGAGCCCCGCTCTGCTCAGCTATCAAACAACGCCTGCCAGTGGTTCCCACCAAACCAGGCTGTCCATAGGGTTGAGCCCAGTGCTGCGCAGGGGGACCTTGGCATCCGGCTCGCGTTGTTGTGCAAAAAGGGTAACGTCTTTTTCTCTTGCCATGTTTCCATTGTTGGAGCTCTGCGGAGAGCCACCATAAAGAAAAGCAAGACAGACTTGCTCAACCCTGAGGAGGCTGAGGATCAGCTAGCCGACATCGCCTCTGTGGGTGAGTCCCCGCTGCATCCTGGTCTGCCTGTTGGTCACCGGCCCTGGGAGAGAGGGGCCCAGGCCTTGAGGACCCGGCCGCCTGGATGGGCATCTGTTGACCATCCGTGTGCCCTGGGTCAGATTACATGGTGGTAAGAATAACAGTAATGTAACACCTTCCACTCTTGGGAGTTTTCCATTGATCCACGTAATGCACGACAGAACAGTGCGTGGTGGAGAATAAGCATCCTGGTGTTGGCTGAGACTTGAATCCACCCAGAGGTGTTTCAGACCAAAGATCTGGCCATCACTTTCCGGGGGAGAAAGAAACCAGCCCTTGAAAAACGTGGAGGGTCTACTCGGACACACAGGGGGTCACCCTGCTGGCTCAATGGCAGCTGGTAATGTGGACTGATCTTTTCATCACTTGTGAAGTGCTTATTAGGGGCTTGTTCTTGTTGGGGGCCCTGCTGTGAACAGGACAGTGACCCTGAAGTCCAGGAAAGAAAGGAGATGTTAAAGAGATCATTCTGCACATCGTGTGTAAACGTGCTGCAGGAGAGAAGCCTGGGGCCTCTCCTGCTTTGGACGAGTGGGGTGTGATCAGGGAAGGCTTCTCAGAGGAGGTGGCAAGTAAGCTGAACACCGCCAAGAAGAGTGAGAATTCTCCATGGGCAGTGCAACCAGAGGGAATGGGTGGGGGGCTGGGCCCCAGACCATCACGGTGGATTCCATAAGGGGCGGGGCTTGTGGAATGAAGAGACATTTATTTACTCTTGTCCTCCTCCCTCTGTGCTGTTGATTGACTGACCCATTGTTGCTTTTGACCTTCCATGATGAAAGAGACTATTTTTTGAATGGGTGTGTTAAATGCCAATGACAGAGAGCATCCAGACCAAGGACCCTGAGAGAGAAGTGCTTTAGCCAGTCTGTAGAAGGAGCCATGGTGGCGTAGTGGGCTACTCATTGACCGTCTAACAGCAAGGTCAGCGGTTTGAACCCCCAGTTGCTCCGAGACTGTCTGCTCCCATAAAAATGTGGAAAGGTCATGGGGGGCGGGGAGG